CTTTACAGGTAATGGGGGTCCCCTCCACCCCCACCAGTGTGCAGCCCCACCTGGATGATGCGCCAGTACACTCCCCACACACCAGCTCTCAGTGGGGAAGAGAGCAGAGTGATGAAGCCAATTCATAGGTGGGGATTATTAGGAAGCCATGATTGGTAAAGGGCAGGGGAAAATTTGGCCATGATAATTGGGTAACACCCCTACTCTTAAAGAAACGCCCTGGGATTTGTAATGAGAGATTTGTAACAGAGAGTCAGGTTCTCGGTTTATTTGTCTCATCCAAAGGACAGCGCCTTTTTACAGTACGGTGTCCTCTTCACTATACTGGAGCATTAGGTCCCACACAGACTGCAAGGTGAGTGCCCCCTACTGGTCCCACTAACACCTCTTACAGCAGGAACTTTAGCTTTTCCCAGTAGGTCTCCCATCCTGGTACTGACCAGACACACACCTGCTGAGCTTCAGTGGGCTGCCAGCTGTGAGTTGCAGGGTGATATGGCTGCTAGCAACATTTAGCCCTTCTGCAAGCTCCATCCGATGACAGCCTTTCAGTGCTTTGGGATTGACTGAGTCTCCAGATTTAAAAGGCACAGGGTCAGCTCTTTTCACAATCTCCCTACACCTCTCCATCGTGTCCGGGAAAGGCTTTAGCGTCTGCAGGCACTGATCCATGAGGGGGAAATTACTTACCAGGTGATCTGTTCTTTACCCCAGGAGAAGAGATACTAGCAGCAAAGTAAGATCACTTTCTCATGAATCACAAAAGATCCCTAGAATCCCCAGTTTGTGCATATGTACAATCTCAATCACGGCTTTTTAAAGGCTGAAAATTAGTGTTATTAAGCCACTCTGATAATATCTTAATAACTACATGTGTACTGGAAAACAGCATAGGAAAAACACGGAGCACTGTAAATGGTTCTGCAGTTATGGCACATCAGACCATCTAACTAGACATGTATCTCACGTATAGCTGCTTTTCACTGATGCTGTTTTGTGACAGACTCCTTTGTAACAAGGAATCTGCAAATCCAGTCAAAACATTCAAATTGATGACAAAAAAGAAACAATATTTTTATATACTTTCCCTTTTCAATTCATGAATAGAAGTTGGTACACATAACAAGAAGGAAACTTCTATTAAATTGTAGTGTCACAGAGTACGCAACGAATGTTTTTTATGTCAATTTGTTAAATACATTTACCATTTAAATAAGGTCAATCTGCGCTGATTTCAATAGGTGGCAGCAGTGGGCAGCTGCTACACCCCGAAGGGAGTGAGCTGTAGGCTGAGATTTCAGACTTCTTCAGCTTTTCCTCGGGATGTTACACTTCGCTGCTGAGGGCTGCTGGGTTTGCTCCAGAGCTCTGCTCCACACTCTGGGCCCGGAAAGCTGCACCCTTTCTCTGCGATCCCTCGGTTCCTCTCCTGCCCTGCAGCCCCTCGTGCTCCTCCAGGACTGGAAGGCTCTTGCAGACGAGCACACCCCCACGGCCACAGGATGAAGGTTTGGATCATTATGACCCTGGTTCTCCTCTGTGAGGAGTTTCAAAATGGTGAGCATATAGATTTTTGTTGTTGTTGTTGTTGTTAATAATGATGTTTTAAAGAAAAAATCAGCTCTTTCCAAGCTTAGTTGGACTGTTTTGCAAACAGGACTTTTTAGGTGGCTTACTTAGTGTCTGAACCCATCCTCAGTTACCTGAAGCTTACATTAATGTATGCATTTGCGTTTCTTGTCCTGTTTCATTTATGGAGTAAGACAGAACTTGGAAATACAGTATATGCTTATTCTTTGATTATTTACTGAAGGGTCAGTAAAAAAAAAAAGTGAATTATTTCAAATGTTTTTTCAAAAGATACATCACAGCACATAATAGGAGTTTTTAAGTTGTTGGAATCCTTTCGCTGGCCAGAACTAGTGCAGTTCTTTGTTTTCCCTGATCATACCTCTCAGCTGATGTGATGTGCAGTACAGAGCCAGTCTTGTGACTTCCCTTAATCTGCAACAGGTGCTTGGTTTCAACCTATTTTTTTAATCACGGAGGAGTACAGGCTTGTGAAGAGATATTTCCAAATGGATTCACGTGTATATTTAAATACATCTAGGCTCTAGAACAGTTAAAAATAAATTTGTCTTGGACTGCTGACAGACGGCGCTCAAAAATTAATGCTTTGCCCTTCTTAATCCATTCATCTTTCATTTCAAAATACACCTCCAACTGAGATGAAGGCTGAATTGTGTCCGGTTTTATACTTCATGTGCCAGTTCTAAAAATATTTCCTGCTATAATGTTTGTACAGCTGTGTGGAAGAAATGTTGTTTGAGGTATTTTCCAGATGGCCATTTGGTACAGCAACACTAAGATAATTTTCCTTGAGTAGTGCCCGTGCAACACAGACGGTGAGTTTACAGTAGCATCAGGAATAGAAATGATAGCCGCTGAAGAGCTGAATCCATAACATAACGAAGAGGAACACAGAACTGAGAATCCCTCTGCTCACTAGACTGAAATACCAAAAGACAGGGCACGTTACTGACACAGGTTACAGATCATGCCTCCTCATCGTTCTTCCTCACAACGAAAGGATATGACTCCAGGAGTGGGTAGACATGTCCCATAGCCAGCTGCGCAACTTTCCACCTCTTTCCCATCTGCAGTGTCTCCACAGTTTGCTTTAGTTTAGTAGCATTGGATATTAGTTCTTGCGCTCTTCTGGGCGGAGTTAAACGAAGACGATCACATTGATTGTTGGTTCCTCGAATTTGTTCGCTGGCTGTCTGGCTTTCTTGAAGATTATATGAGTAAGATAAGATAAGGAGAAGAACCACTAGAGTGTGCAAGTCTGTCATTTCACATCACTCTTGAAAAAAGATGGAGAATAATCAAGGAAGATCTTTCTGTTTAATGCAGAATGTCTCCTTGCTTCCTAACCATAAATTCAGATTTTTTTATCAATGCGTTTAAAAAAATAAGCCATTTACTAAGAATCTCCTCTAGTTCTTATATGAAATACATCTTGGGAACTGGAAAAATTCCCTCTCAGAAGTAACTGGATTTTGTGCTGTTTCATCTTTTTTTTTTTTTACTGGAGAGCCAGCTCGGTTTCATCAAAAGATCATAACAGAACTGGGCTGATCAGGCAGTTTACTGCGACGCATGCCATTGGATATTTCTCACCTTTAACTTTTAGGAAGTCCAGCCTTTGTGATAACTTTGTGGTGTATGAAATAAAGTGCACTTTGTACAGCCGCAGGGTCTGTAGGACAGCCCGCAGTTAAACCTTGACTTGCCTGTTAGCAGCTGTGATGTCTGACTCATGGGAGACTTCCTCCTTTACCATGGCAGCGCCTTCCGGACTGGGAAAGCTCATTAACTCGTGAGACGCTCTGTTCCAGGCCTCAGCCAGCAGGGTAATCCCCGGAAAGAAGGAGGCAGGAGACAGAAGAACAGGTCTGGAAAGAGGAAGGAGAGCGAGTCCGCGGGCAAGGGCCAGTCCATCCTCACCCAGGTCCTGGATAAGGGGCGTTTCCTCAGGCTGGTCGACTCCTTGACGCTCAGCTCCGGGAAGGACCTTGAGCTGCGTTGCAAAGGCAGCCGGATCGGATGGGCGTATCCGACGTACCTGGACACCTTCAAGGACTCCAGGCTCAGGTACTGCTCCGCTGGGGAGAGGGAAAGTTGAATTATACCACTGCATGTACCTTATTTACGAGGGAACCGAATATCAGGAATTTATTTTTAAAAAAATGGGAATGCTTTTGTTTTAATTAGGCTAAAAAACATTCTAATAACTCCTACATAAACATTACACGACATGATGTAACATGCATAATCCTCTACAGCTATATCTGGAAAAGACGTTACTGGCCTGTGGTTATTTGTAACGAGACATGGTTTCAGCCGTGAGCTGAGAGCAGGCGTCTAGTTGGAAAGAAGGCAGGTGAGCACGACAGGGGACACCAGTAAGGTTCGGGTCAGGTTAGTTTTACGTAATGGTTGGGCTTCCACATTCAAGAACCTGAAGATGGGGGGGGGTAAATATGTTGGTACCTTAGACATTGCATTGCTTACTGTACACATTTTCAGGTTTCATCTCTTGGAAATGAGATCATGAATGTCTTCAGTCACGTAGAGGGACTTCTCTGGCAGGCCCATCCAAATGCAGATTATTGCATAGACAACCAAGGGGCAGCACAGTTAAATGATGACATTAATTCTGACGGTTGTGAAAATGTACTGGTTTTGCCCCAGCTACTGATCAACGGGTGTCAGGATGGTTTCACATAGGCAGAGTCATTATTCTTATTCGCTCTGTCGTGTTTATTTTATTTTTTTAAAGCTGATTCCTCCTCTAACAGAAATAACTGCATCTGAAATGAACTGCGTTTGCACAAACCCATCCTGGACATATCGCAGCAGGTTTTACCAGCGGGAGACATTCCCACAATATATTCTTTACATGTTTGCAGAGTGTAAAATGTCCTTATGATCATTAACACGTCAGTCAATATTAGACAAAACAAGCTGACAGAAGAGGCCGTACCCAGTGAAGACAGGACCAGAAAGACATAAAAAGGCGTAAATATCAATGCCAATTATCAAAATGTATTTAATTCAGTCACATGTACTTGGGAAGGAGCTGCACTGTGTGTATGAACAAGCGTCTTCTTTCCTTCTGGGTGAAATCAGCATCAGGCAGCAGGACAAGTACAGCCAGCTGATCCTCACGTCCCCGGTAGCCGCGGACACTGGGGAGTTCAGCTGCTGGGCCCTGCTCTGTGATGGCGACGAGTGCACCAGGGACACGGACAGGACCTCCAGCGCGTACATCTACTTCACAGGTGAGCAGGCCAGACGCCAGCAGCGCAGAGCAGACAAACCGCTGCAAAGCCGCGAGACCTGGTTCCCAGAGAAAAGAGACGAATGCCCTGGCTCGGCTGTTTGGTTGGATCCTAATGGATGCGATAGAGGGGCGAATGGATTAGAGGTTATTTGGCGAAACTCTCCTGGCTGAGAGGATAGCAGCCTAAATGCAAGGGTGAGACTGACTGAACCCCCCCGTCACTGTCACAAGGAATGAGCCAGGGAGCAGCTGCAGGGGTGCAGATGGGTTGGCAGGAGAGCTGTGTGGTCTGGAAGGCAAGATAAATATCTACACAGATAAATACTGGATACATTGCAGATATCAGCAAGATTAGGATCCCAACGTCCTTCCTATCTTCTGTTCTTAACTCCATAACTCACAAAATTTTGCTAAATAGTCCCATTTTTTCAATGTTTTTTTGCTGTTACATTAGTGCTACGTGTTGCCTCTGTGTTGTGCCGGCTTAGGAAAATCAGCGCTCTGTGGGGGCTGTCCGAGGGTGACAGGCCGTGCGCCCGGCCAACACAACTTACGGGTATAACCATTGCAGTTGGTCGTTGTTTCTTGCCATTTTTTCTCACCCCTCAGACAAGGATGAACTGTTCGTCCCATCGACAACCCATTTTGACATCATCTACCTTCGGCCTGACAAGCCCTCCGTCATCCCCTGTCGAGTTACCAGCCCTCTGGCCAAGGTGACGCTGCACAGAGAGGTGCCCCCGGGGGAGGTGTCTGTGGATGGGACCCAGATCTCCTACAACCCCAGGAAAGGCTTCATCATCCAGCAGCCCAGCCTGGAGGACACTGGCATATTCTACTGCAAGGCTGTCTCCCGCAGTACACCACAGATGTCAGTCAAGTACCAGCTGCTCTACGTAGAAGGTAAACTGCTCTGAAAGACTGGACCCACTCAGGTAGTTATCCTCTCTCAAAATGCATCCATTTCCAATAGCTGCTCGACACAGGGTCACGATGAGCTGGAGCCGGACAAAGGCAGGACGCACTCTGGACGGGACGCCAGTCCATCGCAGGGCACACACATCCTCACACAGGGGAGAATTTAGACATGCCAATTAAACAACACAGCACACTTTTGGACTGTGTGCCCAGACACTGCACCACAGTTATCCTGCTAAATCAATGAAATGCCCATCTTTTCAAAGACCCTAAAAATGGAATACATTAGTGATGCAAAAAGAGCTATACAATCTTGAAATCAGGCATTAATTGTAAATATTTGTATTCTCTGCTTTCAGTAATGCATACTACAGTAATTGCCACAGTTTGAATATGTGAGCTGCAAATGTGTCGTGAGCTCTACCTGTTGTAAAGGGTCAAGCAATCACTCATACATGCCTTAAAATAGTGAAGCCTACAGTCGGCCAATACCATTGCGTGTACGGCACATTGCCCTCTGCCGCTGAACAACTCTGCGTTAATAACTTGCCGACATAAAAAGGTGATTTTTTTGTATACTTTGCCCGTATTTGTTTTACACCGCTTCCTAAACTGTAAAGCTTGGCTTTTGAAAAGCACCAAGTTCACGTCGACGTCGGCCTGACTGGGGTTTTTTTTTTTAACGTCTTCCCTGCCTTGACTGCAGTTCCAAGCGGCCCCCCCTCCGTGACAATTGAAGCCTCCTCAACGACAGTGGGTGGGGGCGACAACATCAACGTCACCTGCACGGTTCTTGGGGATCCAGATGTGGACGTGGACTTTGTGTGGACCTTCCCCGGACAGGTGAGCTGTGCCCTCCGCTGCAGTTTCGGTCACGGGCAGGGGTGGGAGGGCTGGGGTCTATGAGGAGCAGCAGCGGCTACGTGCTTGATTAAAACAGCCCATACCTTTCTTCCCATGTCGGCCTCCATCCTACCCCCCCCACCACCACCACCGCCATAGTCCTCCGGCACTCAGACCTGCTTCCCTTCAGTGTCCTTTACACCAGAATGCTCAGCTCAGCCAAGCTCTAAACTTGCAGACTTAATGACCCCGAGCAGAGCAGCCTTCTGTGATAACAGTTCATCAACCGGACCAGTTTACCTAGGGAAACCTTTGTTTACTTCTACTTCATGACCAGCAGCATCCTGCCCATTTCCCTTTCACAGATAAGAGGAGACAAGTTAGGGAGAAAACTTAGTCCAGACATCTCTAACCTCAGTCACTTTCACCTGCAGCTGTAACAATGCAGGATGATGATGAATGATGAATGATGGATGCCTGCAACACACTGTTTTTTTGTTGCGTTTTGTTCACACATGGTATACCTCATTTATGTCTGTCTTGCAGCATAATTTAAAATCTCAAATTAAAATTATTGAGCTAGATGCACGTTTTTCATTAATCTTTAAGCAAATCCAACTAGTTTTTTAAGCTTTGTATTCAAAATGTTAACTCAAAACTGGCATTTGCTGTCCAGTTAGGTATTCCCGATGTACATACAGTACCTATTACTAGATTATTACACCCAGGAACGAGGTAGGAATGTGTAGGAACGACCACACTGTTGTTCTTTGTGATATGGAAAGGTAGTAAGACACAGTGCTGGAATAAAACACCTTGCGTTCCTAAAACTGGAACTTGGCTATAGTTCCCTAAAATTTCACAACAGTTTAGGAAAGTTTAGAAGCCTGTACTATATGCCAGAGTACTCAAAAACTGTGAATAATCACAGAATTGATGAATACCTGCAATGTATCGGTGTGCTGGGTCAGTAAAATCCATTTTTCTATTTTGGTTAGAGTAGATAGTGTCACTCCTTGTATTGGTTGTCCTTCCTATACTATAGACTTGCATTTTGTTTATTCCCTAAATTTAGGATCAGAGACCTGTTAGCATTACAGAAGCCTGGAGACTGATAAACAGAGGCTCCGGACACACAACTCGCATTTCACAGAGTGTGATCGCTGTTGAAGATATCGAGACTATAGACTTTGGAGACTACATCTGCACAGCCAAAAATATTCATGGAGAGACCTCTGTGGCTGCCCAGGTAGCCTCTTATTAATAATATGATTGTGAGAAAAAGATGGCAACATAGTATTGGTTCCTCTTTGTATCACCATTGTTTTCCAGCATTACAATTCCTGCAATGTGGCGGCATTTGCGTTTGTTAATAATGTCACTCAAGCCGTCGAAGGGGTTCATTTTTCCCAAACAAAATCACAAGTGCAGCGTTCAATAAGTACTCCACTCCACTGTCAAGCTGTGGAAAAAAAGACTCAGAGGCTGTTGTCAAGAAGAGGGTTATTATTTGATTTGACTTCACTGCGGGGTTTTTGAAGAAAGGGAAATAAAAAGTAAGGTTATAAGATCTTTTTAAAAAATAAAACAAATGGGCCTTCTAGAGCAGTACATTTCAGCCCAGTAAATAAAGAACCTACAGTACTTTAAAAAAAATCTCCAATTACATACTTCCTGGCACAGCAAATTGCATGTGTTACTGTTTGACTTGTCATTTCAAAAACACGAAAAAAAGCTTTTGTGGAGTACCACCCCCCCACCCCACATAAGGTACAGCAAAATGCTTGGAATCTGAATGCTTTTTACTGAGGAATTCCAACCAGCTGGGTGGAAATCGTTCTGATAATTCCAATTTAGAAAAAGAGAAAATTCACCCTGTAAGCTACCAACAGCCTACTGCTTTATTCGAGTCGTTTGGAATTTTCTGCTTGAAAAACTACCTTTGAGACCAGCTCTTGGAACACAAGAGTGAAATATGCACAACTGCACAAGCATTCCAGTTTCTGGCAGAAACATGAAAAATAGTTGATGGTTGAGCTGTGCTTGAAGTACGCCTGGTGCTAATTGACTCCTTATGTGGAATGCAGGCACAAGCCTGACTGTTTCGGATTCAACATACTGTATTTCTATTCTACTCCCAAAGCACAGAACCCACCCTGCCACTTCAGTTTGTCGGGACTGTACCGAAATGGTTCTGGTGAAAACAATTTACAGTATTTAATGTACAATATTTGACTATCACTTGGTTATTATAAAATACTCCTGAATAAAATATTAGAACATGAAAAGGTCTCTTTTTTTCCCCAAAGCTTGAACTGCTTTCAGCCCCACTTGTACATGGATACATGCAGTACAAGTGGTGTTGCAGAGTGAAAGCTACAATGTGGCCTTATGGGTTTGATGTAATAATAAATACTGAGCGATGGTCACACAAGAAGGTATTTTAATGAGCTATTGATGACACAAAACATTTGCACAAGGGCATAGGTCTGATTTTGAAAGGCTGTGTGGTAATCTGGGATTCCCATTGCAATGAAACTCTATAGGTGAGGAACTGTGGGAGCACTTTATGGTAACAATACTGGAAGAAGGCTAAGAAAGTCCTTTACAACCATTTGTACAAACTATTACAGGCAAACAATTGTTCATAAATATTCATAATGAGACAGTTCCAGCTTCAAGTGCAGAGCAGCAGTCTTGGTGGAGAGAAGAAAAGTGAAAATGGTGAAAGACCCTGAGTGACTCTAGAACTGAAGGGACTCTCCGCAGATGCAGCTCAGTAACAGTGGTCCCGAGAGGTGTCAAATCTGGGTTTGCTACAGATTTTATTCACATTGTTGTATCATGGGTATAATTCATGGAGGGTTATGATGTTTAACAGCTTCATTCATGTTACTACATTCAAGTGATATTTTATTTTACAAAATTAAAAACGTGTACAGTATGAGTTTCACCTCTTGACTTGTTTGGGGAACTTCCCATCTAAACTTAGCTTTATAATATACACATTCTACATATAAATCCTGGACTTTTTTGTGAGCATGCAGCCCTAATCTCCATTAGTTCTTCACAAATGAGTCTTGCTTAGATAAACTGCATCAGTCCATTTGGGAATCCAAATGCTGCACAAGCCCCTTTTCCTCTCAATTCGCAAATTATAGCAAAAACATAGAATGAACAGATTCACATCAAACAACAAGAAAATGCTTTTCTTGTTTTTAATAATTGTTTAGATTAACAAATTCAATGTTGTTAGCTTTTTTAATTTAAATATTACAGTTTCAAATTAACTTTGAAATCAAACCATAAAAAAATGAAATTCCGAATGATCTTTTTATACTTATAGTTATGACTTTTATTAATAATTGCATATTTTCAACAGTTCCTACTTTACACACCAACAAATTCAACATCCACACAGTTACCTTTCTGTCACCTATTCAGAAACCTTTCCTTTTTTTAAACCTGAACGCACGCGTTAAGGTAAGCTTTTCGATAAACTCTAGTGATATCATTGCAAATCGGGTTAAAATTTTGACAAGAACAAAAGAATTCTGAAAGCAAGCTTCTCCGGACACCCCTCAGTGAGTGTTCGCAGCTACAGTGAGGTGCTCCTGTGGTCTTCAAAACACACAAAGAATGTTTTTATTGGTCCCATGATCGGCAAAAATAATCCCTTTCATCTAGTGCGCTCAGAGACCGTTTTTAGATCCTGTGGTCATACAGCGCTCAGCAGACCCAGGGTTCACACGTCTAACACAGTGAAGGTGACACACATGGATTTTAATGTATACTGACCGGCAAAAGTGAGCCTTTGGCTTCATCTTCAGCAAGCTTTAACTGTACCTGCACAGCTGGGGGACCCATATGGAGTAGCAACCCTCCAGAAATGGAAACAAAACTCAAGTTGATGTAACACTCGATGAGTTTCTATTGTTCGACACGATCGGATAGGGAGATGCTGGGGTATGTATCCACAGTGTTCCCCGTCGGCCCCAATCCGATTCAGAAAATCCAATTCTTACCGTATCTACCCCCCCAAAAAAAAGCTAACATTCTGGAGTGAAATGCATACTGGTGGCACGAGATGGGGAAAATTCTGCACCTGAGGCTGCAAATTGCTCAGTTTTAGAACAGTGCTCAATCCTCAAGAGGTGGATATGGGATTATGAATTACTGAACTGAACTCTGGAGTGGCCCTTTTGAGTTAAAGCAACCATTAAAATAGTATTAATGGGATAATATGCAATTTAAATATGCTAATGTTTAAAGTCTAGGCAGTGCACTACAAGTTTAAGTCTTAGTTTATTTATGTGAAAATAATGCAACTACATGGAAATCCTAACTCTCGACAATATTTGCTTCACAAAGGAATGGGTTATGTAGCAATAAAGGTTAAAATGGCACCGTTCTTTACATCAGAGACAAATGCTACCTTTTGCCATTAAACTAATGCTACACTTGACAAGATAGCCCGTCCTCACAATTTGTGCAAAATGTAAGAGCTCTCCAAATAAACTGCTGAACCCTGACTTAAAAGTGGCCTGAAAGCAACAAAATCATGCTGACGTGTATAAAAAGCAAAGCAGAAGTTAATACTGAAAGATTCAATTTTTGGTGTCACAAAAGGGAGACCTTTGGATGAAATCCTCTTTGTCTGCCATCACACGGGGAGGCAGGGACTTCGATTTGATACAGGTCTTTGCCGGAATTAAAAAGTCACTTTTTTAAAACAAAAAGCATTTTGTAATACGTGTATTTCTTAATAGGCATGGACTGCAATAAAACTTTTGTGGTCAGTATGCATTTAAATGTCATAATTCGGATACAAAACATAGCTAACAGTCATGGTCATATAGGTATACAACAAAACATAGCTATGCAAAAGGCTGCAAAGGAGAAATGTTTCAAACTGAAAATCTAACGTGTAACGTGGTTTTGCATTTTTATGTTAGAATGGAAATATATTTTATGGAAATCTTACAGTTCACATATTTCGGAAACTTGCTCATTTGTTGTAACTAAACTCACTGATGGCAGCCTTACACAATGTGTATCCAAAGTGCTAAAACCAATTTCACTCACACCGCACACCAACCTGCTCAGAAACGTCTCTTCTGTGAACACAAGGAAACTGAGTGACAAACACTGAGAAATTATCTACAGGCCCTGAGATTTCCCTTCCTCCCCCCCCCCACATCAGACAAAAAGGCAAAAGAACAAGACTGCTCTTGCTCGTAAGTGCTTCTGTGCAACGTTGTCTTTATAAAGTCTTTATATCACTCTTCTTCTCAAGAATCAGCAGAAAGGATATCCATTTCGGATCTGTTCTTCTCCAGTTCACGGGTCATGATCACACATGGCTAATATAGCTTGTTTCTCATGAATAACACTGTCCACATGTTTCAGGGGCTCCCAGGAAGCCCGGCTGGGGCGTTATCTTGGCGACACGGGGGGGCTGGAAAAGGCGCCGGAGTTCCTGGGAGACTGGAACACCCCGGAGGGGGAGGAGGGCGACAGCCGGCGCGGACTGCTCAGGTCCCCGTTGTGCAGCTTCCAGAGCAGCTCCTCGTTCTCCATCGACAGCCGCTTGTTCACCTTCGACTCCTTCTCCAGGGACTCCTGCAGAACGGCCTGTTCCGTCGAGAGCTGCCTACGGACACGGAGAGAAGCGGCGCCGGCTGTATTAAATCGGCACTTTCATACTTGAAAACCGACTTCTTCGCCGCACGCTTGCCGCTGATGAGAGCTTCGATCTCATTTCGAGACATGCGGCACCACAGAGGGGGACTGAAACCGTCAGGTCGGCATTTGAAGGGGAAAACATGATTCTGAACCACAGAATTAACAGCAGAGCGGACGTCTTGAACACACAATTCTGCCATTTACCAGGCTTTGCACATGAAATACAGCACTGATCTACTGCATAAACTTGTCATTTAACAAATTCACCTTACCTGAAAACCAAAACCAGCTTGAGCTTCTTACTGGTTTGCTGTAGGTTATCTTGAGGGAATACACAATTATGCATTACCTCCGTCCCAGATGGAATAGTGGGAATTAATTAATGAGGTATTTTCACTGACCACGATTCCACCCATTCAGAAATGCTTCAAAAACAAATAAACCTTATTTATAATCTTTCATTGCACAGCACAGACTTGGGGCTTTACTGTTTCCACTTTGTGCTTCTCCTTCTTGATTTTCACAAGGCTCGACACCACACAGGTTAAACCATCTCATCACCTATGCCCAGTCACCTCTCACTAATGAGCTGATTGAGCAAAGAGCCCTGCAGTGCAATCCATCAGCTCCTGCAGTTGGGATCAGGAATCCAACCTAATTGCTGTGGCTAAGGGACATGCTGTGGATGTGTGTGCTTTACCCAGTTCACTCTGCTGTGGGCGGTAGCAGGTGGTTCGATATTAAGGAGATAATATGAGTATCTTTCATCTGCATGCCGTTGAAGTACTGAGAACAAACTTCTAATTTGGAAAGGGTGCACCATTAGTACACAGCTAGGAACCCATTTCCTGCATCTACAGGACCAGTAACAAATCATGCAGCTCATGCTGTGACCTGACCCCCACACACGCAATTCAGTACACTGCGTGTTAGAGGGCACAGTCGGCTGGTGACATTCTTTTTATCCTTGGCAAAGTGAAGCTGGCTAATGGAAAGATTTGCATTTATTTTTTTAATTTGCAAGCTTTTACATAACATTACCTAGAAGATATTTTTAAGAACTGTAATGGAACGCTACTACTGAGGATGTTCAAATGCGCATTAGCTTATTAAAATGCAACACATTGCCTAATTAGTGGTTTCATGTGCTAAGTGCACAGCTACAATACGGAACAGGTAAATGTCTGTTCTAGTACTGAATATTTGCTGTTGCATGTGGTATTGCAGTACTTGAAATACTGAGGCTGTGCTCATGATTTGCTTCCAAGCTGCAGGCTGCAATGTTCACGCCCCAGGGACGAGCGGGAGGCTTTCAAGATGAAATCCAAAACACTTTTAAACTGCCTCAAGACTGGAGTTTCCTCTACCCACTTTCCCACTGCATCCCGGGTGCAGGTGTGCTGCGAGAGAATGAAAACCCCAGCTCCAGCCACGGCGGATTAAAAGAACCGTGTGCGGCGTCGGCTCTGCTCGCCGTCTACGACGGAGCCGTGAAGGACCAGGGAGCAAGGAGGTTACCTCGACAACGCTGCATGTTTATCCATCCTCGCTTTCAGGTCTTCGTTTTCTTGCTGGACCCTGTTCAACCCTTCCTCCAGTTTGATGTTTCGTTCCATCTAGGGGACAGAAGAAAGGTGACCTCTCACCCAGCTCTACAGCCACGGCCATAGGCGGCAGGAATGTACACGCTGACAAAAATGGATACCGAATATCCACAAAGCAGTTACCAGATCTTTAACCGTAGGGTCTTTCCCGGTGTTTCCGGTGGACGGAGAACACGCATGGAAACGATGTAACTTATGCACATTAGAACCCATAAAACCCATTCCCATGTGCTGAACACGTTAAGTCCTGGTTCATATGTTATTATTTTAGCTAACGTGACCCCAAATGACTTCTATACAGAGGTGAGGGGGAAAACTATGAGAAACCACAGTACGTACTCTGACAAACGGGTGCTCACGTTAGATTTTTTTGACATATGAAATGTTTTCTTTGTTCTGTGGCATAGGGCTGTAAGTCTGAAGTGAGTCGGCCTCTAAAGAAAACTACTTCACATCAGGGAAATGGTATAACGACATAAAATGCAATTAATAACGTGCTGCGTTAAGAACACTCACTATGCCGTATTTTCTTAAAACAGAAGACCAAATCCCACGCAATTTCCTCCGAGTTCTTAGAATTTAACTCACCAGTTTTTCCATTTGGATAAGCTTTTTATCCTGTTGGTGTAGCTGCTCAGTCTTGATATCCAAAACCACTTTCAGACTTTCCAGCTCCTGCTCCAAATACAGAGTGTGGGAGTCCCTCTGAAATGGAAAACAGGAGACCTCACAGATCTTTCAGCTCCGTGCTGCACTCAAGTCTCTCATCCCAGACACCAGCACTGCCTTGTCAAGGCTGGTGACACCGGGGATTAGGCAACAATAAGAACAGCCAAGTCTGACAGGCAAGAGGACCAAAAATATTGTGTTGCACTTGGTTTTCAAAACTAAGCATTCCAAAGGTTCCTGTAATTAAGAGGCAATTGCTTTATATGCTATTTATTAAACACCTGTTACACAAAACTTCTGATAACATCCCATGAAACCAAATGCCTCAATGCAAGAAATGTTTCAAATTTACAGATAGGAAAAAAAAGTAGCTGATTTTTTCTGTAGTAATGAGACAACCAAGATTCACGTGATTTATTTTTAAGCATTATTCTGAGAATATGAAACATTTCTCTAAAAGATACTTAAAACTCTTTATGGACTATCTACGCTTTCAGATTAATACAGAATATTGTGGATGCCAGTGTGCTCGGCGTGACTGGGATCCGTAATTCAGGACTCAATAGTGATACAGAAGGGAGTTCCACTGGCAGTGCCCAGTGCCAGCCTGACCGCATGGCCTGACATGGATGCAGTCCTGGGCCTCACTGGCTGCCCTTCCTGACGTGCCGACGTCCCAGCAGGAACAGCACACGTCCTCCTGCTGCTCGTGCAACATTTCCTGAAAGACCCCAGTGTGGCAAAACGCCATGGATTCCCTGCCGGCTCGATCTGCACCCCACCGAGCACCTGGGGGACAAACTGGGACGGCTGGTGGCACCTACGGTTTGGAGACCGGCGAATGTGCTTATCCTGGCTCTGCGAGGGGACGGGGTCGAAGCACGCGACAGGGGCTGCTCATGCTCCTTGCCTGTGACTTTCACAGCAGACCCACTGCTGACGACAACTTAATACAGCACAAGGAATTCCCCTACAGCATTTCTGACACGTTCAACTGCTACGACAAACATGGAATACCATTTACTAGAAGCTGAAAGAAATATAAGAACAGAAGACAAACACAAAGAGGCCATTCGGGCCAGATAATCTGTTCGGTAGTTAGTAGCTCCTTGATCCCAGGATCTTATCCAGTCACTTCTCTTAAACAAGCCAGGGTATCGGCTTCAACAAAATGGCCGGGCTGCTGGTTCCAAACCCCTCAGGTTTGTTTCCTTTGATGCACAGAACAGAATTCAAACACCATGTCTTTAACAACAGCATTTACTATAAAATCCAGCAGAGGGCAGTATGCATCGTCGATGGATACCTCAACCTGTCAACAATACCTCAACTGACGACTCGACTGTTGGTTAGAAACGTGACCCACTGGCAGATGGACACCTGCTGAAAGCAGATTAACTTTAAAATAGGTGAATCTATGGCTTATCCCAAATTTCCAGTGGGCTGGTGGTAGACATGAACCAATAAATGTGCTCTGCTTGACAGGGTTAGCCCTAATCGAGCACTTCGTCTGAAGCCATCCACCAGGGAGATGTCGCCCAAGCGACGCCGGAACGACGTGGAGAAACTCCCGGGGAGTGAAAGCTGCCTGGACTACATCTTCCTGCACACGACCTGCTCCCTGGAGTCGGCATCGGTGTCCCCAGTGTGGGGCGGAGAGGTGGCTCTGTGGCTCAGGATCTGCGCCTGTGGCTGGAAGGTTGCCGGTTCAAATTCCGCGGCTGGCAGAGGAATCCTACTCCGTTGGGTCCCTGAGCAAGGCCCTTAAATCCCAACTGCTCCAGGGGCGCTGTGCAATGGCTGACCCTGCGCTCTGCCCCCAAGCTTCTCTCCCTGTCTGTGTGTCACATGGAGAGCAAGCTGGGGTCTGTGAAAAGATGAATTCCTAATGCAAGAAATTGTATAGGGCTAATAAAGTGATGTTATGTTATTCTACTGCAGAGGGTGGCCTGCACAAAGAGAACTGTATCAGTGCTATTTGTCTTTGAATGTGTGAGGGAGTAATCCGGCACACTGCAGTGCTCTTCTTTCGAGATCACAATTCGCAGAGAAAATAGTCCATCGTAACTTACAACACCTAGAATCTCATACAGTCAATTTTACTGTTACCTGATTCTTGTCCATTAAAGCTCTCCTCCTTTCTTCTTCAGCTTTTAGCTTCTCATTTAAAGAGTCATTTGCAGCTGTTAATTCATGAATCTGCTCCTGAAACACAATCAGATATTTTTTGTCAGCCGTTCCCTTGTTACAAGGTACTGCAGCAGCCTGCACTAAGACAACACTACTAACAAGAAAAGCATCAACAGACTCTGCTTGGTGGAAATAAAGTGTGTGTGACTGATAAGACCTGAGCTCCCAAAGGGATCTGAACTTTTCAGCCTTTCTTGTAAAAGGACCCAATTTAATGGTAAAAGCTTCAGGCTTTAGATTCTTTGTGCTAACACTCCATTTCTCACCTGGGACAGTGAGAAATGTTCTGAGGATCACTGTGCCAAATAAACGAACCCTTACACCACCGCTGCTTAATGCTAAAACAGTGGATCTCGGCAGTGAAATGTTGATTTATGAGTCACTGCATTCTTCGCCATTATTTTCTTTTTCTCTTCCAAAAGAGAAATAAAAAATCACTGTTACCCTTGAGCGCTAGTCAGGAATTTACATATTTACATTATTCTCCAGAGACTTCCTTGATCAAAAACAATTGTATTAAAAATCCTTGAAACCTCTGTCTCCGTGCATATCTGAGATACAGATCAACTACAAGTTACACTAAAACCCGAAACTACAGCACGGCAAATCCTGCACTCCTTAAGGCATGAAAAAATGTTAGAAACAACAGGTTTTTCTCTTCTAACTCATTTGCTTGCTAGAAGCTAATCAACATGAGTCTGCAGGCTCTTTAAAGCAGCAAGCCAAGATATTGGCTTCAACAGTATAGCTGGGTAAATTGGTCTATATCCCTACAACTCTTTGTGTAAAGAGGTGCCTAATATTTTCTGCTGTCTTGTAATATCCAAATTGGAAATAGAAGGGTCTATGTTAGCATTTTTCATCGTAGCTGTAAACTGACTATAATTCAAGCATATATCCAACTCAATAGATTATGAGTTAATGAAGGAAGGGATTAGTTATGAAATTATAAACCAGGGGTGTGTGATTTTCTAACTAAAGGAATATTAAAAAACTGGAAGACTAATAATAAAATGTCAAGACCATGTTGCTCAGCTCAGGCCAGCTGTAAGGTTTTAAAGTAACAGTGATTTTCAGGAGGATACCATCTTGCAGCTACTGATGTTTTCTTTAGCAGTAGTCAAGTGGTGCCTTTGTCACGCAATACTTATAAAAGTTATATGTTATTGCAGGTTAGACATTCATTTTTGAGATCCATTTAACAGAACACAAAATAGTTTATAGTAAATGTCAGCTTACACATAGTGAGGATTCAGTATCTTGAAATGATTTGTTGAGAGATTGCTTTTCCAAGTCCTGAGATATCTTGAGGTCTGAAAAAATGCACAGAGATGTGAAACAAAATACAGAGATTTACGACAGCAAATAAAATGGAAACCGTTTTAAAAGTCATGCTACATTACAACATCATTCTGTAAGATGACTCCAGTTTAGCTCACATTTTTGAGTGTCTACAGTTACTGGACAAAGTTCAGTTGAATATTTTCCCAATACAACGCAACATGCTTAAGGCAGGCTGTAAATGGGTAAGAGGACAGCCACCATTTGAGAAAATAACTAAGTACTTCCCTTCCTTAGGGCTAGATGCATTTCTTTATAAGGGCAGGAATGCACAGGTATAACCTGTATCCTTCAAACAACATGTATACGTTATATGCAAGAAACTTTAAAAGGAAAATGGAGCAGTTGGTCACAATTGACAAACTCCACGTTTTGGTGTAATTTTTCCATTTAGAAATCAGCCTTTTCTTGACATTTTTATAATCACCAGACATTATGAAGGGGAACTTGCCTTCTATAGAGGTTTCATAATGCTGTTTCAGGAGCTCAATCTTCTCGGAGTGCCTGGTCTCCAGTTCTTTCCTCAAAGATTCATGCTTTGAGCCTAATTCATCAACCTAGAGAGGCAGGAGAACAGAAAAGAAAACTGTGCTGCATTTAACTTTTTGGGAACATGGTTTTGAAACTGCAGATCCCCGAGGGATAACATTAAAAAACATCTCCATTTCTAAAGCATATGGCTGCATGACAATATCACTGTACTATCATAAAACATGTTGTCCCTTTTCAGTAGCAAGATGGGATTTTGTGCAACCGGCATCATAAATCCAATGAGCAAGGGACACCAAACTACTTGAAATAAATCACTGTTTCATATCACATTAACATACTGGTCTCATTATACCATACCCCTGCCATCGCCGATTGACGAACTCAGGGTGTATTTCATCAGAATGGTATTCATTCGGTGAATCACACTTTAACCCAAATAAAATGACATCGCAATACACACAAGGGGAAAAGATATTGCAGAAATTTCTCTCGTGTTGGTCAATCCCTTCTCCACATGTACTCTGCACTTGTCCCCCAGTTTATTTTTTTTTCCATGTCAGGTAAATTAATGCCAAGAAAATTCAACGAGAGTCGTCTCCAGTCTTTGACACATTTAGTCTGCTGATTAACGAACTGCCCTTCCTCCAATACCTATTGACTGGATAAGAGAAGGTTGTTTAGCATGTTTGCTCCCAGGATTTTGAAAATATCCTCTCTGAAGAGCGCATCCAGTGCACACTCTCATCAGAGAAAAGGGAATGGCAGATGGTAGTTGAATCGGCTGCGGTAAAGGTCACTGGTGTCGTTTCAGGTCAGAAAACCAGGAGAGGTACACCCACGCCGACTGAAATTAAGTCTCAAATTGGGTCGCCCAATACTTTGTATTTATGGCAACTGAAGTGGTTCTCCTGCTGCTCAGCTCCTTTCTCGTTCCGCGTCTTACTCTGCTGCGCAGTGCATATAGCTTCAAGACTGCATTCGCCCCAGTCCTCCAAGGAGAGACCCGCTGACCGCACTCCCCCCCCTCCATTCACCTCAGACAGCCCCTTCGGGATCCCCGCAACCCCTTCCCTGCCCGAGGACGTCCCGCGCAGGCGTGTCCGCCGAGGGGCAGAAGCGCGATCAGTGGGGACAGAGGGAATGCCTTCCGAAGACGACTTGAGCCCCAGTCACCCTCCGACCCCCGACCCCCGACCCACCTGCTGCTGCATCTGCGCCTTGATCTTGTCGGCCTCCCGCTGGTAGGCCTCGTGCACCTTCTCCCACTCGGCCGCGTAGAAGCCCCGGAGGCGCTCCTCCAGCTCCGCCAGCTCGGCCCGGTGCTGCTCCTGCAGCCGCTGTAGCAGCGCCTCGTACGCCCCCCGGAGTTCATCCCGCTCCCTCTCGAGCCGCTCGCACGAGCTGGCGGTGCCGACTGCGCGGCGACAGGGGGGAAACGGGACAGCCGTCAGCCCCGCCGGGACCGCACCGCCGCCACGCGAGGACAGACGCGGGGCGGTCACTACGGAGGGGACCGGGATACAAAGACGGAAACCCACAGAGCTACCGCTCAGGAACGTGGATTCGAAACACGGACACAGTCCCCCAGCAAGGCAGATCCCATTACCGTATCCGACACGCAGGAAACGGATTCTGTTTCCAAGTGAATATCGCTACCTACTGGTCCACGAACCTCTTATATCGGCAACCTGGTCTGATCTATAACAGGGTAGGATGGGGGAGGGATTTTTCTACAGACTCTACTACCTTTACTTTTCTATTGCTTACATTTCACTGGATAAAAAAAAGAAAGTGGAACACTTGGAGATCACACAAGTTTTTAACGAGTTAAAAAACGGCTTCGTGTCCTATCCTTGTACATTGTGTTTTGCAAAAAATGCCGATTGTAAACAGAACAGTTTGCTTATTTCATAAACTTCTCCAGACTAGAAGTGTTTGCTAATGGGGAGCATTTGGCTTGAAAGTGACATATAGCAAGTGGCACCTGCTGACTACAGAAGGAAATATTTTTTAGTAAGTAAAAGGAAACCACTGTACTGCACTTTTTCAAAGCGTTTAACACTGAGTTGACATTTAACTGATCTAGTCAGCAGTCTATTTTTATTGTCCTCAAGACATGACAAGCCAAACTTTCTAAAAGATTGTAAGGTTTATTCCTGCCATGTTTCACGGTGAAACAGCTGTTTATTACCGATCTGAAGCTCAGACAAGAAAAACAATTAATTTAAATAAACACTCTGGCTCAGCAGTAAAATTCCAGACCATTCCCACATCAAACCTCAAATCCTAATTGATTTAAAATTATGATTTCTTCAATTGTTTAAATATCTTGTGTCCATACTTTGTTACAACAGATTTTCAGTGCAGTTTACAAAAATATATATAAAACAGTAATATAGGCTGAACACAGGAGCCTTTTTAGCGCTAGAAATGATTCCTCACTGTTGATAGTCGGAGCTTTATTTCTTTTTAAAAAAAAGACTGATCTGGTAAATTTTGCTAGCTTGATGTGCAGAAAACAGTTCTACACAGTTCTGTCACATCCACTTGTGTGTGCTTCCCTACTGACGCCCAGTTTAGCTTTGCTGTTGATTATCCATTAGTAAATATAACCTCACCCAGGACTCTCTCTAGCAGAAGTGACATGTTTAGCACCTGCCACTCTCACCTGCAACCTCAAACCTACAACTCGACATACAGTGTGTTCAGTAATACCACGAAGACAATCACAAGAGGTATGTTTTCTCTAAAGAAAGCTTATTCCTTTCCCCAGGCACAATAAACTGGAGATGCTGAAGGCAGGTGGGAGTAATTCCCTTTACAACTCACACAGTGGGCAACCGAATACATAGGAAAACGTGCTCATGAACTTCAACATGACCTAACAACAATCAACAATCAGATCATGATGTAACTTATATATACTAAGGCGATTCTTAAACTAGAAAAATGCTATCATATGCTGTAAACAAGCTAAATGCCATTACTATGGAATTTTATAAAGGTGACCATAGATATGAGACTTTTTCACCTGCAACAGAACATTCTCTCCTGGGATCTTTAACACAGTGTTCACGCGTGTAAGGAAATATAGGAACAGCTGATGATGATGCTGATATTCTGCAGCATGCACAGTGCAATGCATCCCATGAACATATATAAACATGGGTATAAGTTCTGCATATATCAAGCCAGATACTGTACATGCCAGAACTGGTACAACACATACTTAACTGTAAGGTGTAACTTTCACTGTGCATACAGTATTTTAATCAAAAACATCTTGTGATAAATCAATCAGAATAGAAGGGTTAGTAATTATCTCCATCCATGATGCACTAACTTTCTGTGCATCACTTTGCGTTAAATATGCTGTTTTACAGAAGGCAACACTACTTGTGTACTTGCAACAAAGAACGTTTTTTCCAATATTATATAAGGCTACAGAAAAGATTCTTGCATTCTTCCTAGATTTTCAAATCTTAGCAGAACAGCTCCAAGACCTCTGATTCCGTGAAATACCATGGACTGAATTTACAGCTGGGCGAGTTGAAAGTTTGAGGGCTGGTTTTACACCCCCAGGATCTATAAACTCTAGACTAGTCAGACAGCTGTTTATACCCGGTGAAGGTCATGACACCCTGGAGCTCAGGAAGGACGAGACCCGGGAAGAGATGCATGGCACACACTCGGGGACGATTCAGAGACAATTATATAGCCAGCTTTCCTCTGGCAGATGGGGGTTAACTACAGGACCAGGCAGACATGGGCAGAAACTGCACTCGGAAGTCGCCCCAGCCTGAAATCAAACCCAGGACCACAAGAGCTGCGAGGCACAGTTTTAGGCAAACAAGTCCAGAACATTAGGCAGGGCGAGATTAGTGCTCAATCCACTGAATGGAAATTAGGGGATACAGTATACCACACTACTGGACACAAAGTGTCAAAGGTGTCCAGAAAAACAAAGACATTATGAAAGTGGAATGCCTGAGACTCCACAGGGAAAAGCCGGAAGAGCTTCTCAGATCAATAACCTAACCGATATAACTCATTAACCAGATAACCTTCTCCTCTCAGCTGGAGATGTCCAGCTAACCCCACAGGGAAATGCACAGTTCCTGAGAGTCAGACGTTTTAATCTTTAATCTTAAAGAAAATGACTGAGGGAAACGGAAAAGTAACATGAATCTTCAAAAAAAAAAAAAGAACATATAGGACTGCAACTTCAGACATTTCTTCAACTATTATCCACAATATGAATAGCACAGCAATCTCTAAAACCACCTAAAAGGTATCACGTACTGAGAATATCTTTCGTTATCTTGCGAGATGAATCAAAAACTAACAGTACAATAACTCCTAAGGAATATGCACAACAGATTTATCAATCTATTTTTAGTTGGGAAATTTCTCCATGATTCCCAATTGGGTATTGATATCAGCTATAAAACAGCCACCATTTCACAAGAAAAGCTTTGTTTCAAGAAACTTTGAGATACTACAACAATTACACACTAGTTAGTTAAATCAGTCCAGCTTGGGGCCACATTAAATTGCCACTGTTTGTGTAACTGCAGTATCTAAAATAGTAGAGCTTAAACAGGCCTAATACACGATGTATTTATCACATGACATGTAGTTTAAATTTGCTGAAAACAGGTTAATGAACAGAATTCCCCAACAGCTGCGCACTCTAAATAAAAAAGTGTCAGTATGTGAGAAACCAGGAACAAGGAGAGACAACACTGGATCTGAATGGGAAGTTTGATGGATTTATTTTCTAACTTAAATATAAAATTAAAGACAAACTGTCCTGAGGATGACAGGCAAGTGGGAGCATGTGGAGGAACTGAAAATATTCGGATACAAATATCAGCTTGGAAGTTCTGATTTTTTTTTTTTTGATTCTGGAGTTTTTGATTCCAAAGAACTAAAACAGGTGTTATCAAAAATATAGGGTGTGTCACCTGTTATGTAAGATGCCGTTTTAAAAGTTATTTGCATTTAAGATGTTGGAATATTTCTCTGTGGCGTGGACGTGTCCTGCAGCAGATCTTGAATATAGGAGTAACTCATCTTACGGTTATTCACTACATCTTAAATGAAACAAAGAATGAGCCTTGAATGCATGACAGCAGGATAAAAACATTTTCATGCAATGGAGCAATTTTGAAGTGTTTTAAATTCCTCACTAAAAGGAGTTCAGCTTTCAGGCATATGTGAATCACAAGGATACACATCAAGTTGTGGCATGCACACCGACACATTCCACAGATATCTGTAAGAAAGGTTATGGGTCATTTCCAGGCTCATTAACCAGAGACACAAATACAAGATGTTTCCTAATGATAAACTGCAAAGCAACCGATACTATAAAGGATATTTTCAATGTGTTGCTTTGTTAAAGAACGTATCAGTATCTGCAAAGTATGTTAATCATATCAAACCGTGATGCTTAACACGGGTCACAGGCCTGATAATGTGGGGCTGTGACTGGGAGAGTTACTCAGAAGTAATGAAGCCCTGCAGAACAGAAAGCGTAGGCTTTGGACAGGAGCCAACAGAACTCAACTGTCCACACTTTCAAGCAAACCAGATACCAGAAAAATAGACTCACGCTTAAGTCTGAGACTGGAGATGGGTTGGGGAAAAAGTGTTGTGCACAGAATAGCATCAGTGTGTTTCCATTTCAGTTACTGCCAGTCTCTGGCTTCAGCAGCAAGAGCAGGGTTATCATAATTGTTTTTGTGTGTCAGAAGAAGGTGTTATTGAAACAAGGCACACAGATTAATTTGTGCAATGTCACATTTCCTCAGGCCACAGCAAGTTTAAAGTGTAAGGGTATAACCGTAGCTTTAAAACACGAGATGGTGAACTGGTGAATTTGGAGTCTTTAAAAAAAATAAAAGGCAATGGATATTATCTGTCATACAGTTTTAAAGCCTCAGTGAATCATGTATTTTTCCATATTCATCATAACTTGTTTATCTCATGAATTATAATACTGAATAAAGTTGTCCACCCCAATGACAACAGTTAAATGTCACAAGCTTCCCAATAAGAAAGGGAGAAAAAAAAAGATATGAACTGATAAACTCCAGAGCCTGTTGCTATCGAAGCACAGGGCATTCACTGGTATGACATTCTTGTGCTGAGGCCCCACTGGGCTGAGACAGGGTAGTGGCAGGGTTTCTGAGAGCTAGGGTCAGGCTGACAGGTCCCAGGGGAATTCAATGCCAGAGTGATCTACCAGACCCGCAAAGCCAATAAAATCATCCAACAGCTCTCCAATACTCTTACATCGTTCACAGAAAAATGGCCTTCTGCACCAGTCAGAAGCAGGCACTGCCCCACATAGGAGAAAGGAGAATCCCGCCCCAAGAACTGTACAGCTAGCATTTAATCGATTACCAGACTTGTGACTGCTACATAAGCTAATTAGGCCTGGCCAGGATTTACCTTCTTTTCAGCCAAAGCCACATGACAGTTTTTAACTTCTGCAGAAGAAAAAACTACGCAGTCACCGTTACTGAAGGACGTTGTTTCCACACCTTTTAAATATTTTAAGATTTTCCTTACCCAGTTCTGACCTCAGGTTGACGAGCTCCTGTGATAATTCCTTACGCTGCTTCAGGGCTTCTTCGCGCTGTGAAAGGAAACACTTGTTACTAAGTAAATATTTTAGGGATTATATCTTTGACCAGATTTCTAGCTATACGGAACTACAGACGTTTGCCAGCACATCTCTTCAAAAAAAAACATTAAAGGTTTTACAGCCACACCTGTAAGGCAGGAATACTATTGACACTGAACACAAAGAAACCTGGAAGCTGGGAGTTTAAAATTCCTGTTGAAATCATTATCAGCTTGCACAACGCTGTCCATGTTTATCTCTCTTCATGACAAATCCCGAGATCTAAAACCCTGTAACAAATCTAAAATTTGGAGGAAATTCACTTAAAGGTTAAAAGTCTAACTGCAGCGTACTTTGGCAAACAATGTTGATTTACACTAGATCAGGATATTAAACACAGACGGACAGCTACACGCCTTCAGCCCTCACAACTGCACTGTGTTGCATTTTGTTTGGTTAACAGAAAATGGATTAAAATACTGCGGACTGCAGCAAGGAAATGACATTTGTTGTTGGGGTAATTTTACTGGGCACAGCCGTCTAAAAATACTCCGCATCGGACATCTGGTTCAGAGACACAAAATGTTCAGCAAATATGAAATGCACATATTCAAATATCTAAATAAAGGCAATATTACCTTGAAACATTTGCCATACAGAACAGCATTTTTTTTTAAAAGCTGGAAGGTTTATAAAATCCTTTGTTGTTGCTCAGTGCCACAGCGATTTGGCATTTCCAGTCCAGCTGTGATGAGGACTGTGGCACTGCAGGTAAAGCACAGAAAACAATCCCCTCTCTCCAGAACAGCACTTCTCGCTAATAAAGCTGTTGGGAAACCAGCACTGCAGCACCTCAGCCAGATCCAGCCTTCTCTCAACGCAGAGAAGGGGAAAAAAAACACTAAGTCACCCTTAAAAACTCTCCCTTTCCTCCGGAGGCTGAGCACCAAGTTAAATAAAGTCAAGATCCTCCAATCCACAATGCACTCACGCAACATCACGGGACATTTAAACTGCTGCTGTTAAAAGGCTCAAGAATATTTCCCGACTGCCATTCGATTAAAAAAAAAAAAGAAGAGGGCAGAAAACACAAACCCACATAGATATAGGCGAAACAAACGGAGCAGCCACTTAAGGTGAAAGAGTGCGAGCATCCAGCGCCTTGGTCCGAGCTTAAGCTGCAGTGCAAAACAAAGAGAAGAAGTTACCGTTTTCCCCGCACAGGCAGTATAAAGGCACGCTTTGCTGCCGGAGCAGCCCATGTCCCCGGCTCCACTGCGTGGAAACTACGGCACACGAGTGCAGGTGGAAACTCCACATCCAAAATGGGGGGGGTGGTAGGGGGGGGGGGGGGCGAAACTGGTCCGTCTACATTTAAGAGACTTGCAAAAGTAGCTCCATTGGCCCTTGACTCTCACTGCTGCTGCTGCTGCGCTACCGCAGCCAGTTACCGTATTCTTTCTGAACGCAGGGCCCCTAGAAAAACAAGGCGAGGGGAGGGTGGGATAAAACCACGCACACACGCACACACTGGGACACTACAGACTGCGAGCGCTGCACTCGGCGCAGCCAGCCTGCGATTGCTTCAAAAGCCACAGCCCTTCGCGTATGGAAAAACAGGGAGTCTTGTCTGACACTGAGCTGATCGATCACCACTTACCGAGGCGCTGCCGCGACGCCGGGGGAACACGCCCGGAACCTCCTCACAGATAATGGGAGCCTGGCTCTCATTTCTCTGCGGTGCAGCGCATACAAGTACATTTCTCTCTCTCTCCCAGCTCCACAGCGTGGGATGCTTTCCGTCGCTAGAAGCGTTTAAAGCTCTCCCCTACTTTCCTTCATATTCTTCATACTGTACGTGTTGGGTTTGGGCAGGCACCTCTACAGGGGTGATAGTCACCGCCCCATCCGTTTTTAAGTCACCGCTGAGGCCGAAATAATCCAGGCACAAAAATCACACAAAAAAATTGAATGAAGGCCAATCTGTCCAGGCTTGCTTACGATCGAGAGACAACCGTGGTGGAGGTCAAACCTGAAACGTTACCATCAATATGTTAATCCTATATACATTCAAAGTCTTTGGAATGGGTTTCGGTTCAGTCTAACAATTTAAGGGGTCAGTTCACTTTCTGCACCAAATATCCTTCTTAAACGGACACGTGCTTAAAAAGTCTTGCGCTTTGTAAGTGGAGAGCACAGCTGCATTTAATTTTTTAAAAGACCCACGCTGACATGCAGCATACAGGCCTTGTGTCAAGAATGAACAGGTCATTCTGTCGCGTACTGCCCATCGAAGCGACCGATCAGCTGTTTATCACGTCTGTTTGCACAGCATGACGCGATAACTGAATCGGGACTATCGATGAAGCCACTGTCCTCATGAAAGGGGTTAAAGAGTAGATCACCACCACACCCTGGAGGACGTGTCCGTTAAAAAAAAACAATCCGTCAGATTTTTCTTCAGCTTGCTTCATGAATCACGTCACTCTCCTTTCCCGTCAAACTTAATTTCATTAGAAATATCCCCCTGTACTGCTTTTCCCTGGGCAGCCCCAGCTAAGATTTCCAGTATCACAAATCAATTTTTTTCCTGCTCTGGAAGTTTAAGTAGAGACAATATCATGAAGAGAAAAACCGGGTTTTCTCCAGGACTAAGATCAGCGAGACTGTAATGTTCCTAAACCACCCTGCGCTCCGCAATTGCAGGTAGGGTAAAAAAAAAAAAACACACTTCACCTTCAGTATTTCTGTCCCTGCAGCTCTGGACCTACAACTTCAAGGCTGCGAGTTCAAAACCCGAGTGCTGTTGTACCACTGAGGAACGTACGTCATCCAGACTACTTCAGGAAAAAAAGCTCAGCAGTATAAATAAGTACTATTGTAAATTACTACTACTAATAATAATAGCTGGCAATACTGTCTACACGGTAGCTTTGTCAATTGAAGTATTTGTAAAACGGCCTAAGGCAGTAAGAAACAGAACTGGCTTGAGCACTTACAACATGTGCTAAGGTAAATATTTCACTCAGCGCTAGCAGGATCAGCCAAACAACTCGCAGGTAATGTGGAACTCTCCAGCTGCCCTGGACTTTCTTGAAAGCTATGGCATCAAGCAGGATAAACTGTAGAAAATGAGCACTTGGAGCGCTCTCTTGCAGTGAGCCCTTTTTCTAACAGTAGATACTACCTATTGAAATGTTAATCGATATCCGACGTGCTAGATTACAGTTGGTGCCTCAGTCTTGCACGTGAATACACTTCACATTTATTTTCCTCTGAATAAAACTAGAACATGACTTAATGGAGCTAGCAGTTTAAGTGTCTGCAGTGTTCTCGTTTTACTAAAATGCTGATCCTGGTTCGCGTCAAGTTACGGTGGTAGTGATAAACATTTCAGTTGAATGTCCAAAGCCCTTCCTTATCTTTCAGGACTCTTATCAAGCCATTAAAGTCTTTGAACAAATGGCAAGTGAAGAGCAAGCAAGGGTATTTTGCATCTAAGCCTTAATCACACATGCAGACTAAAAGACCTGGATACAAACTGTGCCAACTACCCAAGAGCCATAAAACCTATACCTATGCATAGTACTCTCAACTCAAAGACCCTCAAGAGAGCTAGTACTGTACATTAATCAGCTCGCTGTGATGTAGCTGCAAGTACAGGTATTTGAGAACCTTAACTATCGGAGGGAAGACTTCTGTGTTAAGGCATGTAGAAATTCACCTGGGAAGTTTTAGCGAGAAGAGAAAAATAACTCACAATCAGACATTAGTGATTTATTGCAGCAGCCTGGAGGAGACCTGTTACAGCATACAAAAGACTTGTTAATGGGCAACTGTAGATGCGTCTCTTTCACCCCGATAGCAAGCCTGAGGTTGAAATTGGGCGAGTGAGCCTTATAATGGCGATTAGCAAAACACCCAGCAGAGCCAATTTTTTTTTTCAGTTAACACTTTTATTGAAGGTAAACAAATGCAGCAGTAATTTAGCACCTTGACAACTCCTTCCAACTATGTAAAATGAAAGGTTCAAGCATTCTGTTAAAACTGTTACATGTGCAATCTGGCAGATTTCCAGGTCCTCGAGGGGAGATGGAGATGGCAGGGGAGCTCTTTGGATGCATGAAACAGGTAGAACCAGCAGCTCTGACACTGTGTCACTACCTCAATGCTCACCCTATGGAAACTCCTCTCTCGGAAGGTATTAAAAACCGCACTGCTCGGGGCAATGACTGTAAACTCCAGGACTCGATTCACAATGGCTTTCAAGTCCGACAGTTGTTTATAACTGTTGCCGATTCTACAGTATTTATACTTTTGCATTCAGTCTTCACCAGTCTCGGTCTAAAGACAGGACTGAGGAGGTGAGTGAATTCATTAGCTAGCAGATTAAGATACCGTCACATAACACCTGTCAGCGTTTCAGACATGTTGTGAGATCTTTAAGGTCTCTGACAATCTGTTACACGAGCTTCTAAAATGAAACTAACTCGCATTTCAAAACAAATGATCTGTACATAGTGTAAAATTCTAAGCATGTAGTATTTCTCTTTGGAAAGGAGTTTAAGGGTGTAATCAATATTAACAAGATACTGTATAATTTAAAAACAGCATCATAAACATCACCTTTAAAAAATATATATTCTGCTAAAAACGCAATAAGGAAACACCTCTGTATAGTATGTACTGTGGTAGTACAAATGCCATTTAAGTATTTTATGGCATAATGGCTGTAATTTCAAAGTGAAAATATCACTTCTAATTTTGGCGTGCCAAGTTTCTTCAGGATAGTACGTTATACAAAGGAACAGGGAAAGGTTTATTCCTGCTGAAAAGAGAAGAAAAGAAACAATGTTTCAGCTGTGGAGCCTTCTTCAGGTGTGAGAAAGAGAAGAGAAGGCGGCTCCACAGCTGAAACGTTGTTTCTTTTCTTCTCTTTTCAGCAGGAATAAACCTGTACTTGTTCCTTTCCAGCCTACCCATGCGGAGGCAGCTGCCTACTTGAAGAATTTTATACAAGCACTATTACACAATTCTTCCCATGCTGCTAGATGATAAGAAGTCAGTTTAGACAAAACTAATATAGTCCTTACATGCTAACAGCCCCCAACAACACTCAGAACAGGTGGCTGCAAGTGGAAGAACTCCTCGCTTCATTTTTTCTTACCCTAAAAGAAACCAGGATTTTCACAGCAGCAGGCATGCCTGGCTGATAGTGGCCATAACTGAGCAACAACACAGTACACCCCAAAAGCAACAGATAACAGTGGATTTAAAATTTAAATACAAGATTAGCTATTTACCCCTTGATGGCTGTTTTTAAGGCTTTGACACATCCTGAAAATGCCATTCACAGTACAGAAGTAACAACACGAGGATACAAAACGGGCTTTTAAGACTGCACCCTGTATTTAGAGACTTTAACTGTGCCACTGATTAAAGGACTCTTGGAGATCTGTCACTTTGGATGTAGCCATCTCAGTCAGAGATTTCCTCCCAGATCTTTAAAACACCACCTGTGTAAATGCACAAAGTCATGTCTTCTTCTCAGTTCGTCATTTATCTTGTTAATTTATATTTCTGGTCCAAGTACATTCTACATGATAAAATATATTTCATCAGGCTTAAAATTAAAGGCTAGCAATGTGTCTCCTGAGTGCAGAAGACTATACTTGTACTTTGAAGCCAGAAACATATAAGGTAAATGATTGTGCTGTTGTGTCTGCACTGCAAGCTGGGACTCTCTCGGTACACTGTTCCCCTCAGTGCTTTCTACAGTCCCTGTTTTTCACCACTTAATCAAGGACAATTCTATAGTTAGGCTACTCCAACATGACTAAGGGGTCAAAAATAGCACTGTGCCCTGAATCCCCTCCAACAACAGCACACACTATTGAAGGTTAACAGTCAAAACAGCAAGTAAGAGAACTGAATCAGAACAAACAACAGCGAGAGGAAACATTTCAGTACAATGCTTCATCTAAAAGATATCTAGACGTTAATATATACACAGAAAAAATGAATACAACTCAAAATATATTCAAGCATTTTACACAATACTACTAGGGGCTAACTTAAAAGCATTAAGAACTGAATAATGTTGCAACAACAGACAACAAAGATGTGAAACCTCTCAAACAAATTCAGTCATTTAAATCTATAACTTACATGAGACAAGTTCTGCATATCATATTTAAGCTATGGATACTGATGGTTTATATAAAAAAATCCAAACGGGATTTTTGTCCTTGATCGAATTCACTTAAGAATTTCAGCATTAAACCACTCATGAGTGATGAAATTCCCCAACCAAAAGGTGCTTATATTCAGAAAGTTGTTTTATAAATGGAGCAAAGTAATTATTTGGGATTAAATGGGAAAATGAGCTCTGGGCTATTCCACATGCGGGGGGAACTTTAAGTGCAGAGGCAAGATTTGTAGATTTCATTTAGGGGCAGAGCTGGATATTCACTGTGGTGAATGTAAACAGCTGGAAGGAACTGCAGACTACTTCGCAAGCTTTGCCTTAGAAATAACACTGGAGCATTTTTAAAGGGCAACTTCACTGCTTCTATACCCACACACTATATATTCCCAGCTCTGCTCGTCAACACGATTGACATCCTGGCACCAGCACAGGCGTGGTGCCTTCTCCACTACTGAACTGAAAACACCTGCAGTGACAGAAACGAAACAATGTGCGATGGCAAACAAACATCAGCACATCAGTACAGGACACCACGACTAATATAGCACTACTACCACTGGACAGCAGGAAGCAAAAGTGCTCTAGTGCATGTCAAATTAATTCAGAATGATTATAACACTCAGAAAACACGCGCTGCAATAATTCTCACGCCACCCAGTCGGTGCTTCTCATAATAAGTCAATTTCAGCCCAGCAACCCTTGTGAGGAGACACTTCCTCTTAAGAAGCACCACCCTTGAGTGGTAAATCGCCTGAATCTACAGTTTTACATCCATAAATTAAATCCAGTTTCACAGCCTGCAGCAGAAGGGCCTCAGTGACTCTGCGACAGCATGAAGTCAGCAAAATATACTCTTCACCCCTGGCAGATCGGCAGTTTCGCCGAGTAGAAAACAGACATATAGGATGTCTTGCATAATAGCGTTTTCGTCCTGCACGGACAAAAAAAAAGGCATGTGGGGAATGTGCAACTCTCCAGCCAAACATGATCTCATCTCCCTCTGCCGATCGGGCCTCACTCTTAAAGAAACACTGGCGGAGGGAGACTTGTGTTGTAGCAACAGCATAACAAAATGGCTGGACAGAGGCAGATGAAAGCAAGCAGCCCAGCCAGCAAGAACATCTGACTCGATGACACTCTCTGGGGAAACTCCGGTTCAAAGCAGCGCTTCAGCCATGACAGGTCATCATCCGAACACGCCGAGAGAGACAAGAAAAATCTGCTGTTCTCAGGCAGCGGCAGGCCAGTCAGAACCAGAGTTTCAACAATGTGCTTCATGAACATCAGCAGCGCTTTGAAAAAACCTGGCCCTGTTATCTGCAACATGCTCTACTGAGGGAACAAAAAGCAAAACCCAAAAAGAGAGCAAGACTGTACACGAAATGTGTTTGTCAACTAGGTGAGCCTCTTCTTTTTCCCTACCGCAGATAAGAGGGGTGAAAAGAAACAACTGTTTTCCAAGGTAGAAACACAAGTGTCAACAAAAATTAACTAGAAAACACTCCTACCGGCAACTGCAACACAGCTGTCCAGACCGTGAAGCCAGCAGCCTGTGCGCAGGCTGCAACCACAAGCGATGCTTCACCCTGCGAGATCTGGTCTACAACCCGGGCGGAGAGAGAGAGAGAGAGAGAAACCCGGCGCGCCGCGTGCTCACCTGCGCCAGGACGTGCTGCACCACCAGCGCCACGGCCTCGAACCTGGAGTCGCTCGCGGCCAGCAGGGCCCTCAGGCGCTCGGCGCGCTCGCCGCTCCTCTCGCACTGCGTCCGGTAGTGCGCGACCCCCAGCGCCCGCGACTCCGCGGGCAGCGGGTCGGGCGGGCCGGCGGCCTGGGCGGGCCGGTCCCGGGGGCTCTTCTGCCGGGCCCGGTCCACTGCAAGAGAAGAGCCGGTTACAGGGGCCGCCTCGTCCAGCATCCCGCCCGCGGCCGCTGCGTCTGGGCTGGCGGGACCCGGGCTCCCGCCCGTCTAGCAGGGCATCGAGACCGGCTCCTGCATCAGCTGATCCTCCTAACTGTGTTACGACGCGCAACAGAGCAGCAGCCCGACCCCACTGGAAGCTCTGGCAAGATTTATTGAGCAATTACAAGCCATAAGGTAGCTTCATTTCCTAGCGCATAATGGAACCACGAATGAGATTATCTCCATTTGGACAGCGAATATCCCTCTCTGCAGACGCTGCTGTCAGTGCGCCTTATTTTAGCAGAGCCCCGTCACAGTGGTTTTGATTTACATCAGCCTTATAAATATAACACCGGGGGCATCATAACGGAATGGATTCGGCTAATAGGAGTGTTCTTACTCCTACTGGAGAGCAGAACCACAGCACTTTGATCCCGTTGACCTAACGGTAATTAATGAAGGGTTCACTTCAGCGTGTATTAATGATCCGTTTTGCCAATTTGAGCTTCGCATAGCGTTTGTGCCGTCGAAGCAACGTGCCGGTATCAAGCAGCTCAAACGGCAACATTCAGGCTGAGATAACTGAACAGATGAGATCTTCAAGTCAATAATAAATTGGGTTCCCTCTCCTGCTGGGAAAACAGTGGGTGCAATCGCATACACTGGCATTCAAAACTGCTGGGTCACCCCCAAAAAATCTGAATAGAAATACATCTAAGAGAGGAAAATTCAGCATATTATAGTTCATTACTAAAATACTGACATTTGCAGCAATTAGCCATTGCTTTAGTGCACACTTATTAAAAATTCTCTTGCTTCCTTATTAGCAATCAAGCTGCACATACTATATGCCTTCTGTAAGACAGCCTCTGCACGACATCAAGGTCTGTTTCCCACTGGTCTTCAATGTCAAGGAGCATTTTTACGCTATTTGCAAACTGAACATGTTTATCTCATCCTGCAACAAATCAGTAGGATTAAGACCACTGAGCAAGACCAGAAGTTGATTTTTTTTCCTACAGATTAAAACAATTAAGACTTAATTGAGCAATGCATTTGACATCCCAGTTATGCTGAGAATCAGAAGTTGCATTCTGGGGAAGTATTACACATCACCGGGGAATGAAACTGAACAAAAGCCCACATTCACAACATTTCCAGTTTAAGCACTTTCAAAATAACCCCAAACCTTCATTTTATCTACTCCCCTTTTTACCGTGGGCAGTATGCAACATTTTCACTGCCTCTTGTTCTTCACACAAAATGCACCATGGTTTTTCCTCACAGAGGTCTGTAACACCCCAAAGCTGTTTTATCTCTCTTTGCAGCCTGATGCCCATTTTAGCCACTTTCTCAGGAAAGGCTGGTTTGCTTGCAGCTCTTTAGGTCCAAGACCGTTTGTAAAGTTTCATCTTCAAGAAACTGATTTATCCAACTCCTTGGACAAAAAAACTCTAATGAATTAAAGAGGAGTTTAGAAACAGATACTTGGACTTTCAAATAGTCTGTCTTTTAGGGCTTTAAGCCTTTTACTATGGCCACTTTTGTTTCCTGCCAGAATGTCCAATTCCCGATTCCGATTATGGGCTGCACTCCAACTGTTGAACTACTCTGCGTTCCAAAACGTTGAGCTACCCTGCAATTTCTCTTCGAGAACGGCATTCTTCTCGAGAGGTAATTATGGATACAGAGCTATCTTAAATCGACATTGTCAATGACTTCCGTTACATTCCTGCTTAGTACAAGCAGCGCGCCATGGAGAACTGTAACATGAAACCTCAGAGCTGCTCAGTGTAACAGAAGACAGCCGTCAGGAGTGAAGTACGTTTGTGAAGCCACAAACCATTCCATTGGCCACAGTCGCACAAACGCCCCAGGATGACGACGTGTAGGTGAAGGGTTTGTTTTTACAAGCAATAGTGACCTTACAGGCACAGCTCAACTAAACCTAAATTATATTAATTTGAAAGAAAAACAGAGGTTTTGAAACGGATACACTGGTATGTTTAGGAGTTCAGACCCTGTGGAAATGGTGTGCGATATATTTGAACGGAATATGAGCATTACCAGCACAAACGCATTCAGACACACAAAGAAGCTGACATCTCAACACATGTGGCGGCTAAGAGAGGATGTGCTCAGGAGGGAAAAAAAAAAAGTGATCAACTGTTGCTTCATTCATCTGAGGTGTCCATGTGCTCTCGGACGAATCGATGACTTACAGCAATTCCTCCTATCCCGGCAGGAATTCATTCAAAGGGTGCAGGTGTCCCAGGGATTTTGATCACTAGCTCAAGTGTTTTCCCAATTACTAGATGTAAGAAAGAAGCTCGCTTCAACTTGAGCTTTGAGAAAGACCAAACAATCATACTACCAATTTAAAACCTCACATGAAAAACACCTCCTGCACCACAGAGCCCCATCGCAGAAACAATGGGATACTGTACTGCTTTGTTCCTCCCACCAAAGAAGTATCCCAAGCCCAGCCTGGCCAGAGGCACAAGCAGGTTCCCAAGTACAACTCTGCTAGGAAGGTAACAGGACAGTGCCAGTTTAAATGGCAATAGGGTATGAATACATAATCCCTGATTATGTTTTTCACTGTTTTTTTCTCAGTCAGATTCAGAAAACACTCCCCCCCCCAAAAGAAGGTAAGATGGCTAACTTCCCTCACACCTGAAGAAGACTCCACAACTGAAACGTTATTTTCTTTCTTCTCTTTTCAGCATGGAATAAACCTATTACTTGTTCCTCAACTTCAGAAAAATGGCACTTACAAACAAACCGAGGCTACAGTATAAACATTCTGTTTTGCATTGCTCAGAAGAAATCGCCCATTGATTTCCATGTGGATATTTAATTTTCTTTTTAGCTATGCAAAGCTCTCCCTTGGGAGAAAACTACTTTAAAGAATAAGCTTCAATTTACTAAAATGCGTCCTTGAAGTTCTTTGGTTCCACCCACAATGCAAACAGAATGAGCTGGCTTATCTATTTGTACTAGGCTATAGTGTGCTTTGGACAAAGATCATTAACCAGTGCTGTCATTGGTGCTACAACACACATATATTCGGACAGTCCAGAGCCAGTGCACCCATCCAAACATCCGCCTTAAAAGTTTACTATTTGCAGTGTTATGGAGAAAGGAATTATTTTATTCACAGTTGTAACTGCGATAGGACCAATAATTTGTTAATAAAAAGCAAAAAAAAAATCATTTCACATTAACATTATGTTACTGTATGCTGATGTAATATCTAATTTGTCGAGTGGTGATTGCATGGCCTGCACTGACCTCACTAAGTAAAATCGCAATGTTCATTATCTTTGCAATGTCCCCTATTCGCTTTCTTTTTACCTGATTACTTGAAATCTCATGTGATCTTGAAAAATCTTTTCAACTTGAAAAGTTTTCTCTAGATGTTATCAGTTTGCTGTGGATGTTTCATTTTTCTTGCTTCAAAGCATTCCTCTATTGGCCTCAAGGTAAGTGATGAAGGAGACCCCATCGTGGAATACTTGTGTGAACAAGGGAGAATGTGAAAGGTCAAGTCGAAACTCTCAAGCGCTTTCCTTCATTGTACAGTAGTTTAACTAATGCAACGGTCCTAGAAGATCCACATCGACATTGCTACAATAATTCAGACCTGCTCGATAACTATTTCGGTGAAACAAAAAAAATGTTCCTGACATTTTGAGATGCATTTAAGTATTACTTCAGATAATTCAGAAGTGTTTTCCAAAACTCAAAATGCCCAAGTTCCTTGCTTAATTAAGACTTAAACTGGGTGCATGATATTGAATGCAGTCAAGAGTGGAATGTTATAATAAGAA